CTATTACTGACGTCATGAATTGGCTATCTGTTCTAATTTCTAGAGATCTGTGAAAATCAATTACTATTTCTTTTTAACAAATATTTTCTTTTGAACAATTTGGTTATCCAAGTCTCTGAATTAAATTTTTTTCTCTTCATTTTGGTTCATAATTTCTTTTCGATTCTAAGTTCTTTCTCAGGTTCTTAAGTAGCTACTAATCAGCTGACCCCAGAAAGGCAGTTCGCCCAGGACGATGCCGTACCACTGCTGATCGGGGAGGGGCAGGAAGACACGTACTCCTAGGACTACGTAAGCGGAAACACTGATCCCGAGTTCTTTCTTAATCAGATATGTACTAAATGCCAACACACACTGACACATTATTATGTGGCGGCACTCACTGGCGTCGTGGTTCAACTCTCTAATGGAATCGATTGTTCTGCATTGCTCTGGCGGAAATATCTCTGGTCGTATCCCGGCTCCGCCCATAGTCTCTTTCCTATCCTATACATATCAACAATCTCGGGTTATCCTCAGGAACTCATATCCTGAAGGATAAGGAATTCAGGATCACGATAAAGGAAGTCACAGGAGAAGTCTTCCTCATGGTGTCCGAAGAAATCGAAGAATTAATAAAAACATTAACTCAAAAAAGATGTAGTTTCGTTGAAAACTGTCAGACATTTTTTACGCTCACAATACTTTCAAGAAAAATTATTATGCGCCAGCAACGAATTTAACATTATTATTATTTTTTAACTGTGATAACATAGGCAGTAAAATAAAGAAATAATATAAATCTTTAGTTCCCAAATTAAACACTAATCATCATTGAGAGTTTTTCAGAGAAAGAGAAAAACTATGTTTTCTTTTCTAATTTTAGTATCAAAACGAATATTTTTTAAATAAATAGTTTAGAAATTCTTTATTCGTAAAACGTACTTTCGAAAATTACTGATTGTATCAATAGTAATTTTGAAAACATTAAAACTTAAATAGGGTCATTTTTTAAATGAATCAACACCAATTTTATCAAAAAGCTTGGACAGAAAAAATAGTACATGATTGTAGGAAGAGAGGAGTAGTTATAAAAATTTAATTTTCATTTGAATTAAATAGTTCAAAAAGCTTTTCATGATTTTTTTTTTTTTATGAATATTTAAAAAACTTATTTTTACACAATTTTTTTAAATTCTTAAACCCGTTAAAAAAAATAATTGTACCATTCAATTCAATGGATGGTTTTACATCGAAATCGATATTTATCTCACGTTTCATAAAAATCTATTTATTTCATATAAAAATCGAAATATTTTAATATTTTTTTAGTTTTTTCAAGTTTAAAAAAAATGATGAAACATTTTTGGTTATAATTGTTACGTGATATAAAAGTTATGAAAAGATATACGTTATAAAAGTTTCCATATATATAAATATTTGATATAAATTTACATATATGTTTTTCTGGAGTTAAAAACGGGCAAATATACCCTGATACGATTTAAAATGTAATAAAGTAATTTTAATAAAAAAAGGTTTAATAAAATAATCCTTCTTTTGTTTCCTATGACTGATTATTAATTCCTATTTTACCATGTGTATGTACTCTGACATCTTATATCTTGACTTTCGTAACTTGATGCCTTATATGTGGCATACCATATTGTATATAAGTATCTTTTTTTTTGTATTTTTACGATCTTTATTATCTTCCTATTTATTTAATTGTGTATAGTAATTATGTGAAATTCTCTGTTTTTCCTTTTATTTTATTTCTTTTGCTTGTACATAGTATTAATTCTGTAAATTGATCTGTTAACCTTTTTTGCTGCTTTATAAAAATATCCAACCTAACCCCTTTTCACCTGAGCTAGCATGGTAGGATAAATATTTAATGATGTCTAAATAATGGATAATTTTAATAAAAATGATTTTACTATCTTTTATTTAACCTTTTTTTGGTCTTACTTTAACTAAATTATATTTAAAATTATTTTCATATTTAGTGGGCGTTTCTTCAGCTTGAATGCTTACTACTGTGGACCCACTAGTGTTATGCACAGCTCAATTATTGATCCTTACGATTTATAACTAAGGATATTCGACGATCCTTAAAATTGCCAGGACTTGCCACTGCCCTAGAGCGATGAGGCACCATCAATCTCCCACCATCGCTAGAAATATTAATAGGGGCGGTGTAAGGAGGCCGCGCGACTCAAATAGATTCCGAACAATCGCGCCGCGGCTTTTGTTGGTCCCGTCGTGTCCTTACCGCGAGAGGGTACGCTATTGAAGGGCTTCCATTATATAACTGCGAACCAGTTCATCAATCAAACCTCCAAAGCGGCGCCACCGACCTCATCCGACTCTTTTACTCTGTAAAGAGCTCCAACTCCAAGAGTTCCTCCGGAGGGTCATCACCCCCGAAGAATATCAAAGACATGGAATCCATTTTGTAATTCAACAAAAGATATAAAACGATGACTTTATGAACGCCCTCAACTCAAATAATAATCGTGTTGTATCGATCGATTTGTCAGTTGGAACCGAACGAACGTGACATGAAAGATATCATTAGTGTAAACTCGATAATAAGTCGATGATTATAGGCTACAGATGTATCATTTTAAAAACTTAATATTCACAAACTGCACCTGATGTTTCGTGAAAGATTTCTTTTCATTCGTAAAAAAGCTTATTACGTGTCAGAACTGATTGGTTGTATTTTAGGTACCGTGTGCAACTTTCTAGATTAGAAGCACCATATTGATTATTGAATTACATTTCAATATGTCTTATGTATGTAAAATTATAGATGTGTATGTTGTTAAGATGTTTGTTTAAATAACGTGTTGTTACAACTGAATAATGAATTTAAATAACATCCAAATTACCATGGAAACTAAAACCATGGAAACATTCAAATTAACTTGTAGAATCACCTGACAAAAACTATCCTCTTTCCTTCATTCAATTACACACATTTTTAAAAACTATCGTAACCACAAAAGACCCAGTATCGGCAGAACTAGAAATAAAATTTTAAATGTTTGAGTAATGATAACAAATAACAATAAAAAGATATAAAGAATCAAATAATTTTAGTAAGTTATAATTTGGATCTCAATATACAAGTAAAAGAGAATAAATAACAAAAAATAATCTTTTAAAAGAAATGATTATAGTAACATTCGAATGATAAACAAAATTTTATTACAAACTAGATTATTTTTTAAAACAAAAGTTTCAAAATCCTTAAATTATAGTCACTAGCGGATCCAGGTAAAATTTAACTCCGAATAACTCAAAAAGGGTTTATATACATTTTTTGTGGATATTGTATATGTTTTTTTATATTTGACGGAATTTCCTAAAAACAAAAAAAAAAAACTTGTTAAAATCGGTCACTTAGGAGCAAAGATATAGTCTCCAGTTTTTTTTTTTTATATGTGTTCTACTCCAAATGATCCTTTAACTTTAAAGATGGTTTTTAAATTTTAAATGTGTTACTGAAGTAATGCTATTTCTTGAGCATATTACTAATGATTAAAACAAAAAGTTTAGTCCAATAACTGGAATCACCTTTTATTTATTTTTCTTTGTAATTAGGATGGCAATGTTACTTTAGATGTAAAATTTTCTAACATCGAACGCCTCCAATCCTTTCAGTCCAAAGTCATTCGTACAATAGTAAATGCTCCTTATTATGTTACAAACAAAACTCTACATCATGATCTTAACATCCCTTATGTCCTTTATTTCTTTATGTCCCTTATGTCCTTAATATCTTAATATGTACGTATATATTAGATTAAAGGTAATATAAAAAACCTGCAAGGATTAATGTTTAGTCATTTTAATTAGAAAAAATCAAAATATGATCTCCAGTAAATTCAGTCATTCTTATAGAATTGCAGCAATGTGTTTCATACCTAAATCGGCAGTATTTTATACAATGTTTAAAACCTCGGCAGCAAAACATTTTTAGCATCCCTTATACTCTTGAAAATTTTTGCTTTAAACAGTGTTAATGGCTATGTAAATAATATACTGTGAACTGAACATTATCATTATCATATTCTTATTAAGTTAAATACAAGGTTTGTCTGCGATATTAATATAAAAATGTTAGAAAATTTAATAGTAGGGAAACAAGATCAAATGATGACATAAAATTCATGTACAAATAGCGAAGTGTATATACGGGGATCGTTATTCGTTATTCCATCCCGTTTCTCAAATTTTCATCAAAACCTAATCCATCATCCTAATCCCTTAGCACAATCCCTTATCCACCTCCAGCCATCCCTACAATCCTCCTCGAAGGTTAAAAAGGCAGTGGCCTCGAGATCTTTTGTAAATACTTCATTGGAGTCCTGGCAATGGCCAGCTTCTCCACTCAAGTCATGAACGTATGTGGCTTTAGCGCCCTTTCTCAGTCTCCACTGGATCTTCATCTCAGTGATGCGGCTGAGACAGAATCGCTGGGATCTCTTAGAGTCTTGCTTTATCTTCCACACGTGGAGGAAATGGCCCGACTTGGAACTCCGTCGGCTGATTGTAAATAAGCATGAATGTTTTATTTATTTATTTTTATTTTTGTTATAATTTCTATTATTTTTGTAATTGTATATATTGTACGATTTAATTTCTTATATCTCAAATACCCAATGCCCTTGATTGAGGAAAAATGTATTTTTTCTCAATAAAAAAAACAAAAAAAATTTAGATGTATAGTTGTTTGGAAATATTAAACCATTGTGAAATAATTTGTAGCGTTTTTATCAACAATTAATAAAAATACTTAAAATATACATATCAATAAAAATAAAATAAAAAAATCTAAAAACGACGTACAGTGTTCGGCAAAAACCCTAGGAAACTATCAATTTAAGATTTCGACGCTGCTCTCGATACAGTACGGCGGTTCGTTAAAAAGTACGAGCGGTACCACACCGGCTCGGAGCAGAACGATAATTCGAAAGCATTACACGGCCATCAGAGCGGGTGGAACTTATCTACCGAGGGCTTTTTGCTTTGAGAACGTTTACGATAGCGGCTTCGAGATGGCCCAACGCAAGCCTTGCTGCTCCTCCGGTTATTGCTTCAACCAATAGCCTGGGCCTCTTTATGTCTTCATTACTAGTCGCTCGGTTTAACTGCGTCCCTATAAAGTGAGAGGAATTCATTGGTTAATTACTTGGTTGTTCTCAACTGTTACTTTCTGTGTCGTTATTGTCTATCCATTATGAGCGACCCCACTCCGACTCTATATATCTCATTGTCTACGAATCCCCTTCGTGGTAAAGAGCACCTCCTGCTAGGCTATTCATCATCTCAAACTCCTTTATATTTTAGAAATTGTTTTCTGGTTTGAATGCTTTTTAATCTTGATGGCGCCCATTATCATAAGATTGCGTCCCGGCTATTGATTGGGGTAATTAGTGCTCTTGTCTAATGGAATTAGTCAATATGATATAGAAACCGCCGGGTCGACATTCGACTTTTATCAATACACAATTGAGAATTCATGACTCGACTGGTAGCTTACCATTGTCTGTTGGAATGCGGCTATTACAAACGGCATCGAGCCTTTCTTTTATAGGAGGAGGCATATCGGAGTAGATGGATACACTTGAAGAAACCTACGGCCTATAGGCCGCATGTGACCTCCAACCGTTTTTATTTAGTTTTAGTTAGTTTATTAATCCAGCGCATAAGTATCGAAAAATAGATATCAATACAATAAATTGATTATAAGTATATGTGCGTATTTAATGAATAATAATAATAGCAACAGTAAAATATAAAAAAAAATTGATGCGGCCTCCATTGTCACTGCCTAACATTACTACGGTCTCTAATGATTAGTGTTGCTCAAACGCGAGACCGAGACGAGTCTTGGTCTTCCAAACTCAGTCTTGGTCTAGGTTTAGGCACAATACTCTCGTAACAGTCTTGCAGTTACCTATTAGTTTATTACTAGAGAGATATTACTGTAATTTTTCTAACGGTTCTTTACAGTATATATTCTTTACATAATTGGTAATTGGTTGACTGTCGTGGATAATGAAGAGAAGAATAGTTGGGGTGCTCAGTCAAAAAAGGAAGGCAAAAAATAAATTATAATATTTATTTTTTACATATGCCGACGTTTCGACCTGAAGTTCAGGCCTTCATCAGGGCTAAGAAAATAACATTTTATTCTAAGATTCCCAATGTAACACTTTTGTCACCCCTTTTTGATTATGCCTACTTCATCATTCCACACTATGTAACAGTTTTTATTATTTATCTCTTAGTTCTTAGTCATTATTCTAACAATTTCATTTTACTTTATATCTATTTTATTTTTCTTATAATTTTTTTTATTTTATTTTCTCATTTTTTATTATCTTTTTTACCATCATTACTTATGTTTCTCATACCTTGTTATCTGGTTATTTTCTTAGCCCTGATGAAGGCCTGAACTTCAGGTCGAAACGTCGGCATATGTAAAAAATAAATATTATAATTTATTTTTTGCCTTCCTTTTTTGACTGAGCACCCCAACTATTCTTCTCTTCATATATTATTTACATATAGTAACTAAAATTGTCACGTATAAGTAACTATTTTGCCTCAATTTTTATTCAAAAAATCGATTTTTTTTTACCAGCCTTTGTCTTGGTCTTGCGACAGGTAGGCGGTATTGCAAAGTGCAAGACCATGACCGATTTTGGGTAACACTACAAATGATAAAAAGGTTTTCTTCCAACTATTGCTTATAAAATAATTATACCAGCTTTGAATATAGTTGAACCACTGTACATCAATTTATTTTAAATATATATTTAAAAAAACTGAATAATATTATTTATTTCTACTTTAAAAATAGAACCGTTTTTATAACTTAGGAATATTAAATTATTAAATCCTCTTTTCATATTTATTATATTGCGACTCATAACAAAAGCACCTTAGTAATTAGTGACTTACAAAACTCTACATACTGACCAACAGTTGACCAACATATAACGATCCTTTATCAACGATTTTACACAGATTTAAATAATAAAAGACTAATAATAAGACATGGCCACAGCTGACATACCTCAGAACATGAGGAGGAGACTAAAAAGGCGTTGGATGAGGGATCTCCTTCCATAGACAACCTAAGTAATTGGAACAAGTTAGGGAAGAGGTACTGCTGAGTACTTTCCTTCCCCATGGCCGTCATGTCATTATTTCATGCATCGCCATCACATTTGCTGATTGTCAACAATAATTTGACAGGCCCAAATACAAAATTAGACAAATACACAAAGAAAAAATTATATTATAACGTATATCGAATAGATAATATAAGTATTTTTATTTTCTAAATTCATAAACATCTTTGAAAAAAGGAAAAGGAAACAATTATGCTGATAAGAGCATTAATAAATTGTATTAATGGTTACAGATTAACATATCAATTAGTCTTTGAATAAGCAAGATTCTGATTGATTTAGCTTAAAAATTTAAACTAATACGTAACTTTATCATTTACTTCGATACTAAATGGAAATAAGCTATGCATTTTTTTTTAGTTTCGGAAAAATTGGATCATTGAGTATGTAAAGTTAGGATAAATCCATGTCTATATTAATCTTTCACTAAACTTGATGTTTGATGTGAGTCTTTTGTTTTTCTAATAATTTATTTATTTGTATTAAATAAATATTTTTTAAATATAATAATGAATAAAGCTAATCGGTTTATTTTTTAACGAGAAGAGAAGTACAATAAAACTGTAGAGCTACTCAATGACCAATACCGCTAAATGACCAAGCCTACTAATCAGACCTAATACCATGTAATGATAGAAATAAAAAAAATAAAGTTTTGAAGGACTATCATCTAAAGTACCGAATGTTATAAATTAAACGAGAACACATTTTATTTATTTGTTATTTCAATAAAATGTGCTCCTCTGTGCCTTTTATATCTTCAACTCCAAATCTCAGTTAATAATCGTTTGGTGGTTTTGTGATTGGGAACTAAAAGACAGCATTTAAACACCTACTCCTTTCTCAATCCGCTTGATTACGAAATATACATAAGAAAACTATCTAAGTACCCCCAGAAAATATTTCTGTTTTCTCTGTTTGTATTATGTACCCTTTATGTACGATTATTATGTGTGTATATTTACACTTTTTCTCTCTTTCCGTCTGTATTTTGACTTTTAAATAACCAATATTGTAAATATCTACTCTATTTATGACCGCTTACACATGAATTCAGCACTTATAATTTGTTCTAAAGGGACAACAGTCCCAGAATAATAAAATATATTTTCATTTCATTTCATTGAATGAACAGAACAAGCATATTTTCTAGATTGAAAAACTTCCAGTACATGCATTTAACTCTATCTATTTGAAACGCTGAATATCTTGTTCCAGTAGAATAAAACTCCCAGTTTTCGGCACCCTTAAAGAAACATTAAACGTGTTTGACCCGTTTCGAATAAAAAAAAAAAAAAAAAAAAAAATTCGAAAACCAAATTTATAACGAATTTTATTGAAGATGTGGATTAAAATATCTCAAAAATTAAAAATCAGACCTGCATACTGTTAGCTATTATTTATAATTTATATTTCATATTATTAATCTCGGTTTGTTGATGTTTTCACTTATATCGTGTGGTCTAAAGCATACACCAACATTTTTTATAATTATTATTGTTTTTTCCTCTTATTTTTATAGTTTTTGTTGTTATCTGTCTTTGTTGTTTTTTTGTTGATGTTTGATTATAACATCCCTCAATGGTGCTACTACATCTTTCTTGCACCACGCGATCTGGTCTTGGTTTTTTTTTCTAAAAAAAAATACACTTATACCCCTTCACTTCTAGGGTCCTCTCGCATACATACATTATTTTAGTCGTTGAAACAGCCGCTCGACATTGGGGTTCGTTGATCCGCGAACGATAACGAAGAATAATCCCGTTCACTAATGACGAACGCCTTCTTCAATTATTTACCGGAAGGTTCTCTCGTTATCGCCTGCCGCGTACTACCTTATTGAGCATTCCCCCACATTTCCGCTTCATATGAATACGCCTTTGATCATGATTCGCGGGATATAAGACGGGACGATATCTCCCGAAGGACCACGAACTAGAAGGATAAAGGAGAACTCGACCATTAATCAGAACCGGGAGGGAGGTAAAAACAAATGGAAGGACTCACAAAAAGGGTTGTGGGACAAAGCACGTCAAAAATCCCTCGAGCGCCCTCTTGTGTAGAGTTTTTGTTATAGGGAAATCTGAAGGACCAAGCTTCCCCCTTCTTCCTTAATTATCGTTCTCTTGGCATCATACATCATCCGTCTTTTTTTACCATTTTTTTCTTTTTTTAAGATTTTTTTTTACCTGTCTACATCTCGGGGAGCCCCTCCCAGACAACCGAAAACCACCTCAACAATATTCCCAGTCTTCCATCATCCATCCCACGTCTATATCATCGCTCAACTTCCAAAGCTCCTGGGAGAAGTACGAGGTAGCAGGTCTCCGGTCCACGCGTCCGTTAAATTATTTATAGCTACTCAATTAATAATAATAACTATGTATTATAAAATTATAAATAAACACTTATTATTACCATCATCAATATAAATTCTCTTCCGCTATAAAAATTATTATTTATTTTTTAATTATTAAATTAAATTTATTATTTATATAATCTCAGGTAATGGTAAGGTTGTTGAATAATTTTTAAAGTCGTGGTGGATTCACGGTAGTGGAAAAAAGGGAGTAGTCAATATTTTAATATTTCTCTTTTAATAATTTATTCGCAATTATTCATAAATATTGCGACTAGTAACTATATTTTAAATAGTCGCATTTGGTTTTTGGGAAGAAAATACTCTAGTCCGTGGTACATAGTCCTTTTTACCGAATTATTAACATCGGCCTGAAACTTCGTAAATAGATTCATCTCATCCTAACCTACAACTATTTTATTTAACGAAAATTTTCGGAATTGGGGCGTTTTCAGTCTAAAGGAGGACAAACTTTGTCTATTTAATTAGGTACTAAAAACTCGTAAATAATCATTTGCTTACTACACGGATTGTAAGATAATTTGATCAGAAAGTCGAAGAAAAAGGTGGTTATCAAAAATATTGATCCGTTTGGCGTGACCTACACCCCCAAATTTTAAAAATAACGAGTTTATATAGGACAAATGGTCCAATATTTTGTTATCGATTTTGTGATCAAATTATCTTAAGATCCAAATAAACAAATGTATATTTACCAGTATGTAGTACCCAATTAAATAGACAAAGTTTGCTCCTTTGATACAGGTCATAATTACAGGTTTTTTACTGACATTAGTTAAAACTGAAATGGTAAAACATTGTCAAAATTTTCTTGTAACGTTAATAAGTAAAGATAAATACAAACAGTTAATGGAATCAGTATTATCAACATAAGAATCAAAAGAAATATGTGATGCAATTTCCACGATATGTTTAATTTATTTATTTCTGTTATAAAAAAACTATTTTAGTGACCATGTAATATTTTATTTTACACATAGCGAGACGTACTCTTAAGACACCACACTTCTTATTCCCGGACTTATTTCGCCTTTATTATGGTTAAAAATTGGTTATAAGAATAATTATAATTATAATAATAGAAATATAAATTGGCAGTAAGGTGCAATGTTTCATTCCGTTTATTTTATATTTATCAAAAATAAGAAAAAGGATACAATCTGAACTATAGAATACATGTAAACTACAGTTATATAATTTGAGCAAGGAGTAGTTCAATTAAATGAACAGTTGAGTAATTTGTAAAATGGGGGTTGGTACGTCGTTACACGGATAGTGGGTACCCACCAAGTTAATAATTATTATTAAATTTTATCCTTGTATAAGGAAATATATACATTGATAAGTTATTTATAAGGACATTAATTTATGTTGTCCCATAACCTAAATATATTTTACAGTTTATATACGTAAAAATATAGCCTTAAATCAATGACCTATAATGCGTAGACGAATTTCTCAATTCACTATAAGGAAAAAAAAATAACGTCGTCAATTTAGTTATAATTAAACGTTGTAAAAGTTAATCGCCGGGCTGGCGACTTGGACTAATTCGATTATTCCGTCAGTCGATATTTAAAATGTCTAATAAATTTTCGATAAAATAGTCGATCATCACAGAAAAAAAAGAAGTGTAGTTATGAATAACAAAAACTTTTCACTTATTCCACTTGCTCCATAATCACGCCATAGCATTATATATTCATTAGTAGGGGCATTAGACTTTATTTAATTGCATTATAATTGTACATATTCCTTTAACGAGGTACCTAAGCTCCTATTTGCATTTGAATGCTAAGATCTTTTGATGAACGAGGTTTTTTTCCAGAGTTTTTGAAGAGCTTCTCCTAACCTTTTTTTTTCTTTTCTATTTTTTTTTTCTTCCACTTCGTGGCTTTTCCTCCGAGAGGAATCTGCCGTAGGCGTAAGTGCCGCAGTCATCTATCACAGCCCTTCTGACAACCTTTCTTAAATTAGGTTTCGACCGGCATCAGGTCTTTTCTCGTTATCCTATTGTTCCCGGCTAATCTACCTTCGTCTAAACCTGGATTTCATTTTCGGGTCTTTGGAAATGGACAGTCCGAAAAATGAAATTGGTTTTCTGACATTAACTATAACAATTCGATTTCGTGATATACAATGTCTTATTAATTGTGTTATGATGAAAGCTTTATTAATTGAAGATGAAAAAAATTAAAAAAAAAATGTTGTAGTGATGGTGCAATGGTTAGCTATAGGTACTGGTGGGAAAACGAGTCCAGAAAGGTCTTTTTCTACTTTAAGTAATTTTAGTAGAATTTGGTTATAGTAAGAGAACCTAGTAAATTTCCAAGGATTACAATATTAATTGTTTGATATTTTGAATATTTAATAGTTGACCGTTGCATTATAAGGCAAGGAGATGGTCCGCGCTGGCGGTCATAAATAGGCTAAATAGTGGCAAAACTATTTTATTAAAATCCAACGTTTCGACCCGACTTTGCAGGTCTTCTTCAGGGAGGTTTGTTCAGCTAGGTGTTTCACTTAGAACTTAGACTTATTTTAATTAAATAGTTTTGCTACTATTCAGCCTATTTATGAACGCCAGCTCTGAACATTTCCTTCCTTTATTAATTGTTTGAATTTAAATAGTTTAAAAAAAAAATAATAGATAAGGGGAAAAAATGGCTTCTGAATTTTTCATGGTATTTTTGTCAAAATGTTCAAAACAGTCATCATTATTTGATTTTTAGTGTTCTATTGATCAAGAATTTCGGATAATAACTCATTACAAAAAGGAAAAAAAAATCAGAATGTTTCTTTTGCTTTCAGAATACAGTTCCGATTTTTCACTTTTTGAGATCTTAATCCAAATGCAAAATTTAATAGGCTGACTTTACTCGAATGAGCGTTACAGTCTGTAGTAAATTCTAGGTGACAAACATAACATCTACAACATCTGTTCTAATTTTGAATGAATTTTCAGCGATTTTGCCGGTTGATATCGATATGATCTCAAATAAATCATAAATGTATTTAACACATCCATACTTCAAAAATTGCTCGTTAGCTTTGATAAAAAAAAAAAAAAAAAAGATGGTTTCATCTATTACTTTACTTGATTACGCGTACCCAAAAATATTTTCTTTGATAAATCCTTCATTTCAAATACAGTTTGTTTTATAATTTTTTCCATAAAATTAAATATCATAGACCTTGAATTATTGTTAATTGTGTACATAATAGAAATAATGAGAAAATCATTTCGGATATGCAAGATTTTTTAAAAACTGTTTGATTAACTGTCGTTAATCCTATTGTGATGAAGTTTTCACGCTTTGTGTGAGTTGATACTACTTCTTTCGCTTACGCATGCGCTTTTTCCTTGACAAGCCAATATCTCAGAAAATTGGTCAAAAGTGTAGCTTTTTTTTTTTTCTCTGTTCAATTGATTTATTTTAATGATGAAACAATATTGTTCCTTGGAAAACTATACTTGGTTGAGCAGTTAGCCTAAGGTATCGTTGTAATACTCGATCCTCCGGCACTTACGGACTCCCGGACAACCGCCCCGTCGTGACCCCGAAGGCGGAGTGGACAAAGCCGAGGGACACTCCATTAAGAAGCGGATAGACAGTCGTGCCTTCCAACACAGCCTTCATTAATTAGGAGACTCGTGGAGTTCCTGAATCACGCCAGCTAACAATCCACGAGTCAAAGCGCTCGCTCTCGTTTATTGATTTAATTTTATCGGGAGGGGGGCCCTCCAATTGGAGGAGATTTCCTTACTTCGAGGAGGGGGGTATTGTGTCGTCGTTATATCTCCATTTTTACCTTTCAACACCTGGCTAAGGCCCTTTCAAGGATTTCTTTTTTCATCTTTTTTAATTTATTAATCCTTACAATATACAAATTCTGATTATTTTTCAATATTATTATATAGGCTAATAATTACAACTATAATAAAAAAGAAAGAAAAAATATATATTAGTTTTATTGCCCTGTTATCAGAACTTGCTCATCTGATTTGAATTTTTTTTTTTTGCGTTAGGTAGATAGTTTATAATGTTGTCCAAGACCAAAACTGGTAAAAAAAAAAATAGTTTTTGTAAATACACATTAAGACAAATAGTTACTAATATATCACAATTTTAGTAACTATATGTAAAGAATTGGTATAACCAATATACATTTACATTTAAATCTTCCAATTTAACATTCGGGCTTAGTTTGGTTTCCTCTATTTGAAAAATTACAAGATACAATAATATCTCTATAATATTAGGCTAAAAAGTAACTGCAAAACTGTTAGATCATGCACAATACTATTTATTTGGATAACTCTATCGTAGTTGACTTAAGAGAAGTATTTGTCACTCACTGCCTTATCTAGATCAATTTGCAGAGAAATATCGTGTATATATTCTTACAGAGAAAGAATTTTAGAGAGAAAGAATTTTTTTTATTTTCTTCAAGTAGTTTGAAATACTATTTGTTGTTGTTGTTTTTTTGTGCGATTTTTACAATTTTCCACACAAATTTATGATGTTATTCATTTAATCAGATGCAGGGAGATTATATGCATTTTTTAATACTAAATGGTCAATCAATGAAGGCAAGGAGGTTAAGATGGGCGCACAGAAATCCAGCAGGAAGCCTTTATAAAACAATGAATACTTCAATATTAGACAAGAGACTACTAGAAGTTTGAAAACCATATGAATAGATGAAATCAACAAAGATAATGTGAGGTAGAAAAGATTGGTTAAGAAATGAATATTACAACAATTAAGTGTAGAAACTTCACTAAAATCTAAGAATATTTGAGTATGTATACTATCGAAGTGTGTTCTATAGTTCATTGTGTGGTTTTTAGCTTATTCACGAAATAAGACTTAATTAAATAATGTACGATTTCCTCGCTTACATTATGCAGGTCTGATTTTTAGTTTAAACCATATTAAAAAACATTTCAATTACTCATCAAAAACATTTTATCCCACAAAAAAATAGGTGAAACGCGCCTAAAGAAATTTTCACTTTAAAAATAATACATAAAACAGCGATGGAGAAGGCTGATCACAGTTTCAAAAATACTACATAATCTTTAATTAAATTCCTGACAGTGGTAAAATGATTACCCTTGCTTTACCCACACTGGTTTTAATTCAAATTATTTTTAAGGTAATTATACGGTTTTGCTATTGTATATAAACAATATAACATGGCTACGATCATTTATCTAATTAGGTGGTTGAAAACTTCGTTCGAAATTAGGATAAAAAAAAAATGGAAAATAAAAAGTGGAATCCATCGTAAATTTCTGCCTCAAGGAATATTACGACGTTAATGTTAAATGGAATGAATTTTATGGGCGAGCTCATGCCTTAAACATGGGCCACTAACGACTAAGAACCCATGATCTATGGGCTCCCTTTAATAAAATAACAGAAAAAGATTTCACCCCTTTGTTTAATGAGATCAGCGCCCAATTCATAGTGGCACGCCCAGGCATTGTATGCCAAAAACTTTCTCTCCGACACCTCGCCGACTTCTGTACTGGTTAGTGATTTGCACTGTGTCTTGTCGATGTCTAATCATATCCTGTATTTAAAATTCTAATGGAATGTTTATAAGTATGGTCATTTATTATTATATCATATATTTTATATAAATTGTACGTAAATGAATTAAATCAATAATTAAATATCATTTCCAAAATATGACTACATCCCTCAGAAAAGCCAAAAATAAATAGACAAAAGAAATAAAGATTAATAAATTAATTACAAAATGAAATAAAAATAAAAAAATCATCAAAATTGAACCATTATTAGTAAAGATATCTACTCAACTTTTTTAATATGTTGTAATTTATTATTCTCAATAATAAAAATTTGTAGACATACAAAAAATAAAAAATCCGATCCCTTTAACACTTTTTGAATAACAATTTTTGACATTATTATTTGTTATTATAAATGAGTTTTTACTATTTTAATTAAGATTTTTTTATTTTGGATTTATTTCACAATACTGTTAGAAAACACTATTTATTCTCCACAATTAGCAATTTTTAATGTTTCTATTAATATATGATATACCTCTATAAAAGATTTCACGATAACTTTACATGAACATACTAATACATTCATGAAAGATATGGCTATAATTAACATGTCTGAAAACACAGGCTCAAAAGAAGCTAGAAGAGAGATCTCTTCGCTTAAAAAGTATACTAAAATCAAGATAGGAGGTGATTCTGCTGGATAAAAAAAAAAATTATTATTTATTATAACTATTATTTAATTAATTTTAGTCAAATTCAAATAAAATAATTTTATCGTCTATTTAAAATCATAATGTATATACCGTAAATATAAAATCCCACAGACTGCTATTATATATCTTTTGTGCCGTTGTTATTATTAAAAAAATATAACATATTAACTTAATAATATAAAAATGTTATTATTAAGAGCGATTTCTCAATATTCCCTTCATATATTTTCAAAGATTTATAAATAAAAATATATTTTGTTTTTTAAATAAAATTTTCTAAAATGTTTTGAATAATTAATATGATTATGTTTTATTAAAATTCTGGTTGGATTTTAGGAAAATATCTATACATATAGATATATATTCACTTTTTTTTTTTTAATGGGTGACTAAAATAAATTAGCCTCCAGTTATTATATAATTTTCAAAAATTCTAATACCCAACTTTTCGAAAATGACTTCAAACCTTGTTTCCTCGTTGAAGCTTACGCCGTTGATTGAAATGCAAATATCCTTTCCCCGCCGTAACACCGTTGTGAGGCATTTTTTTTTTCCATCTCTCTCTTCGTGAAAGAAAGAAAAGAAAACAAGAATGCTTCGCCATTCTTCTTATTATGATTAAAATTCCAAAATCTGTCAAGTGGAGGATAGACTTAAATTATACAAAGTAAATTACAGACAGGAGAAAAACCGGACTGGACGGGGTTTGAATGAGCAAGTCATCCGCCCAGTATTAATGACCGGAGAGATCCAGCCACGGTATGGCACTTCTTCGGCTTGAGCATCTATAATATTCAGGAGTCTGTCAATAACCTTAATGTAATTTCATTAATAATTATATATATATATATATATATATATATATATATATATATATATATATATATGTATATATATATATATTCAAAACTAATTAGTTCTCGCCTCCTGTCCCAAAACGTAAAAATTATAATTTACAAAACCATTATCCTTCCTACAGTTCTTTATGGATGTAAAACGTGCCCGCTTACATTAAGGGATGAGCAACGTCTTAAGGTTTTTGTTGAAAATACAGTATTGCGCAGAATATTCAGACCGAGAAAGGACGAGTCAACCGAAGAATTTAGGCGGTTACACAACCCTGAATTGCATGAACTATATCCAATTAATATAATTGAAATGATTAAGTTGTGGTGAATAAAATGTGCGTTTAAATACATTGGGCTTAGTAACGAAAGAATTTTAAAAAAAAGTTAATATGCGCTGTGCCGACTGGCAAGCGTCCGAGGGGTAGACCAAAGTGAAGATGGGATTTGGCAGTTGGGTTTAGACGGAAGAATCTTAGTGGATGGAATATGAACATAGATTGGTGGTATCGGTATCGAACCCGAAGGTTCGATAACCCTTATTATTATTATTACTATATATATATATATATATTTAAAGAGCTATAATCATAATGTTTAAAAAAAATATATATACTTTCCTTCCTGAGATTTCGGGCTGATGACCCGCCAAAATAGGAAAAATATATTTTTTTTATTAATATATTTCTGTTCTGTTTTCAACCAATCACGCCGAAGCCACAGTTAGGGTAATGTTTTTAGCTGCTTGTAGGTATGTTACGAATTTATTTATTTAACAGCTATACTAATGTGTTTTATCTGACCGTTAAAAGATATGTAGCTATATTTGAAACGAATAACTTGACCAATTATTAAGTTTGATGGTTCAAATTATTCGGTGAAATGCCGTGAGTTTTTTGGATCTAATTGAGCTCAAAATAAATAATGACACGTTACTGTAAAACAGTGTTTTATGTGAGCGTTAAAAAAGGTAGATCTACCATTTCTTAAGCGAATAGTTTGATTGATTTTTAAGTAGTATATTTCAAATCATACAGTGGTATTCCGTGAGGGTTCTGATAAATTGTTAAAGGATAACACATGTGTGCTTCAAGTACGAAATGTAAGCACAAGTAAAAAAAACAACATAAAAATGTATCCTTAAAAACATTATTGTTCCTAAAGTTATGTATCATTATAAACAAATAAATGAATACAAATACTAGCCTTCTTAAAATTAAATACTATATACGCTACTGCCTTCCACTAATAGGCATGTAAAAATCGGTCAAATTTAAGATGTAAAGTTTTCTTGCCTTTCTCATTAAACAAAAAAATAAAAATAATAATCTTCACATATACACAGATACAGGGTCTCAAAGTCTCTTATATCTCATACATGGAGAAAAACTTCAAAAAAAAAAAAAAAAAAAAAAGGAAAAAAGATATGAAGGAAACCAAAATGTACATGTATATTAATTGACTGAACCTCAAGATATTTTAAAATATATTTGTGTTTAAATTGTGAAGTCCAAGCTAGTCATAAGACTTATTATATAGCTTTTTTTTGCAGAGATGCCCATTCCCCTAATATCGAAAGCGCATGACGCGCCATTTTAAGAAATTTTATTGCTCTCTCTTCTTAAAATAGAGGAATTTACCCTAGTTCTCTGGTTTGAATGTTCTTGTTTATTGAAAGTTTATAACATAGTTTAAATAAGCCCTTCTCTCTTCCTCAAGAAAAATTAAAAAAACGGGGATATAAACGTACCTCCTCCCATTCCCTCCCCCCCCCAAAAAAATATATGTGTGTATTATTTTATAAAGGAAGTCTTAATAAGACTGACCTGATGAAAAGTTGGAGATAGGCACGTTGTTGGTGATCGACTCAGCAACTTCTGGAGAATTGAGCCCGTAGATCTCCAGCAACTCCTTCACCGTCTTCTGGGCGTAGTCCCTGAGGTCAGAGGCGTCCGTGGACTGGTGGAGGAACGCCTGGAGATACGGCGGTCTCGACTCTCCGTCGCTCGAGTCGGACTCCTCCGGACTCTCTTTACCTCTTCCTTTAGATAAGTCCATCGGGGCGGAGTCCTCGTCGGATCTTCTGGGTCTCTTTGCCTCGCTGGCGTCCGAACTGCTCAGGTCCAGTGCGCAATACTCTTCTTCTTCCTTCTGGTACACGATGTTCATCGGGTCGAAGTTCTTTCGCTTGTTCCTCTTGGGTTGTGTGAACAGGATCGGGGCCTCGCCTTCCGAATCTTCGGAGGCGGTCTCCGCTCCGTTCATCTGGAGCCTACCGCCCACCAGGAACATCGGCTCCGTTTCTGCCATGTTCACCATGGAAACGCCTGCAAAATAAAAATAAATAAATAAAAAATAATCGAATTATCAATTTAAAATATTTAAATCGATTTGTTGTAAAAAGTTACTAAATATATTTTTAATAAAGCTAAAAGAATATAGTTAAAAATATTTTTTATGAATATTGACCACATTTATCTATACATATACAGATTAAGCATATGAAAATCAGAGGTTGAAACATTTAGGAAGCTTTTTGAAAAATTCCATTCTAACAGTTTTTGTTTTAAAACAAAAGTTCTAAGGAACTCCATCCAGGAAGTTCCAGATGTATGTTAAAAGTTAAAACTTTTATTTATTCATGTTCTTAAAAAAAGTTCCGTTAATAATAAATGGCTGAGATTACAGTTATGTTCAATATGAATTACACATAATTCTAATGTTTGAGTAACTATGAAATTAAGTCATTTTTTAGATCAACTTTTTAATGAAATTGACAGAAATAAAAAAAATTCTATAAAACTTTTACTTGAAAAGTTACAAAATAACAGATGAACTATCGACAACGAAAATTCTCTTGGTATCGAAACTTTTTAAAAATAAATGTTTTTTTTCCATTTCAAGGCTTTATTATCAAAATAATACAAACTCTTATATTGGTCAAATGTAGAGTTGTCAAAACCTTAAGTTTTGTGCTATAATAGTGTATGACACAAAAATTATGCTTTGAGTTTTTCTAATAATAGTAAATTACTTTTTTTTAAAAAACCTATGATTTTTGATGAAGCTACAAATATGAAAATCATTATTAAAGGAACTGTATAAAATAATATTTTAAACCCATCAAGCCAAAACGAATAGAATGAACATTATTACGTCTTGAACCATACCATAGATATATTATTTAAAATGTAAAATATTATGTTTCATATGGTGAAAATAATTTTAAATAGATGTTTTTGTAATTAAACAATTTATATATTCATTAAATTGGTTTAATATTCAATTAATAAATACTTTGATGGATTTTTCCCATTGCGAAATCAAAAGAATATACATACATCAAGTACATAATGTTTCTGATTTCACGAAACTAGAATTCTTCAAAGTATTTAGCAACTTTATTTTATTAAATGTTACTGAATTTATCGATACAAATGCACAACAAAATTATTCAAACCCTTTTTATTGATCTAATGTAATTCCATCAAGTTTAAATTTACGAAATGCTATCATAAATTGTCCTCCAATTTTACATCTTAGGGGAATTTAGTATAATGTCGATTTTTAAATTAAAATGCTAAAAGTGTTGAAAGCTTGTTCTTTCTCCCCTCTAAAGCAGTTAGATCACGGATCCATTTTATACCTTTCAAGACCGCCAGAGAAATTATAATTTTAGAATCAATTATCATCAAAATCAACCTTGTTCCAAAGTCATCCTAGATATAATATTGTGACTCCATTTTATGATAATTATTAAGTTTTTGCAATTAATTAATTTAATATTCATATAAATGATTGGATCACAAAAATATAGATTTTGTTATTTTCACTGATGAAATCTTACAATTTAATTTTTTAGAAGCTATTATATCAAGCTAGGGCTTGGTTCTAAGTATTCTGCTTAAAGTGTTAAAAAGTTATTTTATGCTATTACTTTTACTCCTAATGATTATTTTCATATTTGTACCTTTTTAATTAGCAGCTTTTTATAAACATTTTTTAAAATTTATATAACATTATTATCAGGAGAACTATTCAATATATAGTATGATAAAACAAATGCACAGTTAATTGCAACACAAGATAATTCGCGTATCAATTATCTAAATCTACAATTAAAAAAGATTTTTTATTGCTTATAAATATTTATATTATGAGGTAATAAGACTTGATAATTATTATTTATCGATGTAAGAGATATTTCATTTGGTTTTCTTAGAATGAGTATTTTCTTTTCTTTTAAAGAATAATATTCACTTAATTAATAAAATAATGTATAGTTTCTGGTACTTTCTGTGTATGATAAAACACTGTAGACGCACATTTTTTTATACTTATTTTTTGTCTATTAGAACAATCAATGATAAATATATATTTTAGATTAATTTAGTTGTATTCCATTGATTTAAGGACCTCTATAGTCGAATGGTTAATAGTTCAATGCTTTTAGACACTAAATTATAATAAAGTTTATAATTAATAATGAAAAAGCTTCAAATAAATCTTCATTTTACATTATATTGCGAAAATACCATAAATTAAAATTATTACTGAATAGAAAATCAATCAGAGATTCATCTATAAAATACAGTGATAATTAAGTATGAGTATAAAACGAAATTAAATTGTGAAAAATTATTAAAAAATAATATATATATATATTTTTAAAATATATAATTCTGATGAGTTTTAATTGCATTAGATCGACTATATAGTTATTAGAAGCATACAAAACTGTTTACGAATGCCAATTTATGGAGCCATATAATTTTCATGATAATATCGTGTATATATTAATTTTGATATAAATATTTAGTTTATTAGATATTGAAACAGTTTCAATATTTTTTAAATTTTAATTTCTTTTCCATAAGAAATTATACTTATTTTGTAAAATGTTGTTTTATATTTCTTATCTATACGATAGTCTTACTAAAGTAAAAATACAACAGAGGTTTTGATACAATGCCTACTAAAATTAATGATATAATTATTATTATTAAGTGAATATAGAAAAACATTCTATATTTACATTACAAGATATTTGTTTTAATATTTTTATTTAAAAAAACTGAATAAATACTGAATTTTCATCTCTTTTAAAGATTTTTATAAATTAAATGAAACTGGATCATGTTTAGCTTTTAATTTGAAGAGAATCTTATCTATATTTCCTGTTTTCATATATTTATTAAAAATGATAAAAAAATATATACATAAAAAAATTATCGATGAGATGAATTGGAACACTTTTATCTAGAAATCGGTTGCTAATTTAGAATCGCTGAGATAAAAGAGTTTATTATAGCTATTAAATCAGTAACTGCAGAATTTTATGATAATGTCACAGATCTGTTTATAATATTTGAAAAAAGAATTGTAATAATTATTTGTACAATAAATTTAAAAAAAAAAATTATTACCTTAATATAATCTGTTTAAAGAATTTGTATTGATATATCTGTCGAATAAAAAAAAATAATATATTTTAACACGATATTATTAGAAAATAAGACGTTTTTATAAGTTCAATAGTTTTGTATTATTTTTCGATAAATTATTGACGGTAATTCATCGATGTTTTTAACCAAACTTTTGAATTATCAATGCAAGTGAGTTTTTTTATATTAATGTTATGAAGCGCGTATTATATTATGTATATATGTTTATGACTCAATTTCTAACGAACTAATATATTTTCTTATATCCATATATATTCTTCAATATATATTTATACGTTTTAAATATATAAATGTTCTTACTCTAACGGAATGAGAGCAGTATATAATATTTCTTGACCCTGTTTCTGTTATTATATTGATATATAACTTGTTGAGATTACAGTATATAAATTCACTACCCACATAACAATCGTAAATTATAGGAATTGTCGACTTTTTATAGTGATCTATATTTTTATGGGTGATTTATATATTTTTTTCTTATATTGCTAGTCATGAATCGATAGAAATTTTTAGATCCGGTGATAAATTATACAATATAAAATTAGAAATACATATTTTCTGAAATACAAGATTTTTTTTTCATATTATTTGCTATTATTAAAGGACATGTGCAGTTTTGTATTCTGTGTCCCCATATTTTATGTTCGGGCTGTGGAATGTGGAAAAATACGGAGCCCAACCCACAGAGCTATGTCTTGAATTACAATCGGTCTATGATTTACACTGTGCATTCCCGCTTCCTTAATGCCGATAGACTATGGATTTAAAGTTTCACTCGGTTTCTTTCGACTGAAAAATGGGTTTAAAATGCATAGATGCATTCATGAAAAAATAATATTCATATTTATCTCAATTTATTACACGGATAATAATACCGTTAATGATGTTAGAATAAGATTAAAGATTATTTATACTTGTTAAAAACATTATTTAGTGAAACTATCCAAGTTAAAAAATATTTTAATTTATCTATTTAGAAAAAACAGTATTACTTATTGAATTCTATTAATTGAAAAATTATTGCTGAATCCTTACGAAATCTTTTTAAATATAAAGAAAAAATGTAAAATTTTAGGAATACAGAACTTCGGAATCTCGCCCAAAGAAAAATTATTTTTGCTTATCTATTTTGAAATTAAAAAAATAGTATTGATTATTTTTGTTATAAAGCAAATTCCATTTATGAAAAAAAATTGTTAAACATTTTTTACTAGATCCTTTTAAATCTAAAAAAAAAATATAGAAAAAAGTAAGATTTTTGGAATACAGAACTTTGGAATTTTGCCTAAATAAAATTATTTTTACCTATCTATTTTGAAAAAAAAAAAAAAAAAAATAGTATTTCTATGTTTTATAGCTAACCGAATGCTATCAATGAAAAGAAAATATTTCTGAATTTTTTTCTGTAAATCCTTTTAAATATATAAAAAAAGGGGGAAAAAAAATTGTAAGATTCTTGGAATACAGTAAGTAAAAACTGTTGCCAAAATAAAAATATTTTGAATAAAATGATATTGCTTTTTATTTATGCTCAGGTTTTACTAAATCCTTTTAAAAACAAAAATTAATAAGTTATGACCGAAAATATTTTTATTGAAATATATTTTATCAGTTCTTGGATGTTTCAATCGCGGTTAATTTTTTTTTTTTTTCATAGCTATAATAATATTCATGATATAAAAGGTTCAATATTACTTATGTAAAAAAAAATAAATATTTATTTCCTACAGTGTTTTTAACGCTGATTTTTTTTAATGTCTAAAATTCATAATGTGTCTATTTCTTGTGATATTTTATCAATTATTATAAAAAATATTGTATTAACATCTATATACTTTGTCGTATTACCTTTTTTTTTTTTTATTTAGAATAAATATTTGCCGAAACATTTAATTGATACCTTCATTAAGTCCGGTTGGGAAAATATATTTTTAAATTGGCTAAACATTTTATATTCTTATTTATATTATATTAATAAAAAAGAAAAACCTCTTATATCCAGATGTTTGGTACCCATACAGATCCCATTTACCGTTAATAATGACAAGAGTATAACGCGGGACAAGGTGGTGCTGCTCTCTGGCGACCCGACAGTTAAACAGTTCGGACGTATTCGGCTAGTCTAACGAACTATACCGAACCTATTAATTTCGGCATTTCTATTTTTCGGGATTTAATATTTTATTTATTTCTATAAAATATTTTTTTTATTTTATTGTTTATGATAATGAAGTTTATTAATACAAGATAATTAATAAAAAAATTATAATAATAAAACCGTACAAAAAATTATATGAAACATTTTTAAAATATTTAAAAAAGACAAAAAAGAACCATACTGTTCACGTTTTTATATTAATTATTATTTCATTCTCTATACTGTTTTTTATTGTAAATTATATGTTTCTGATTACGTGTATTATTTGTTTTTTTTTAATAAAAAGATTATCTTTTACATTACATATATATTTTTTTAAACTAAAAGAAAATTACTTAAATTCGTGATATATCATTTTGACCTTTGATAACATTTACTTTTGAGAGTTTTCAAGATATTTTTGAATGATCTGCCAATAATTTTATATCGAGTACATTATTATAAATAATTCCGTAACCATGAAAACACATAGCTATAGATATATTATAAAATTATTACACTTACGAGTTTTTATATGAAAACTATTAATAAATAAATTATATTTCGAAAAAAAAAATGTTTCTTGTATCCCTAAGATTATTCTCAATATTTAAACAAAATAAGATTTTAATAGTACGTTGATATGCATTATATGAGTCATTTATTTTAAATTTATTTTTTTAATATAAAATTGAGATTATAATATTGAACTATTTGTGAGTGACATTTATACTTTTAAAAATCGGATATTATTCTAAATAAATTTCAAACGTTTTAATTTATTTTGTCTTTATTTTTAGAATATTTTTTACTACGCTAAATATTTTTAATTGATTTCGTTAATTGATAGCTATGATAATATTCATTTTTCAACTTTTTTGATGTAATAATTTTTGACATATACACCGTAATATATTAATATTTCATTAATTTAATTGAGAAATTGATATAATATTATAAAACTTTTAGAATAAAACCATTGATAAACAGATTTGCGATTCAGATAAAAGACTGCATTATCTTTTCCGTACACAGTGACTGGGTGTCGCGTTCAACCCTCAGTCCGTTGGACTAGGTCAGTTCGTAAGGGCATTCCTTTCAGATTTATTTAAATTCATTTCCTAAATAGTATATTTATGTGTAATTCATTATATTATTTAAAATTATATTTAAAAATAAATTTAGAAAATCTCATTGAACGAGCTTTTCCGAGCAGCCGTTATAAATGTATGTATTGCTTTTACGTATTTTGAGTAAGAATTTTGATCTGAAAAAAATATATGAATTCTATATAATATATTTAATTATACTATCAGGAACGTTATTTTTCATAACTAACACGGATTATTATACTTATTCAATTTCAAATATGGAAAAAGGATTTTATTAAAAAATTCACATTTACTGATATTCAAAATAAAATATAATTGAATTATTTACGGAGTTAGCCGACTATATAATAATAATAATAATAATAATATTTCAAGGAATTATATATAATATTATTTTATACATATACACAAATATATGTGTGCATAAAACAAATTATTGTAAAGCTTGAGATGATCCGGTTTCGCTACATGTAATATTGACAACTGTTGAACTTAAATAGGGCAATCTTTCTCGATATATTAATATTAAATTAAAATTAAAAAAAAAATTATCTACTAGCTTATCGGAAAAAGTTATTAAAAAATATCAAACGATTTTTTATATTAATATGTCATTATTTTAATCTTAGACTTCGACACAGCGTATATATTTTTTATAAATAATAAAAAACCTTTATTTAAAATTAGCGTTTTAGATAACAAATCGTATCATTTGTCACATAATTTGCTATCGGGCATTTGACACTATGCAGAGCATATTTAAATTAGAGCATGAATTTTAATATTTCAGTATTTTGTCTTTACAAAAATAAATTTTTTTTTCTACTTAAACAATTATAATATAATGAATCAATCAACTATATATTTTATTTAAATCCATCGTATTACTATTAAACAATTATATATATTTTATAAAAAATTAAATTTGTATATAAATGTTTTTATTATTATTTTCATATGTATTTATAAATGTATATATATTGGATAAAGATTCAGAAAAAATATTTATTTATCTGAAAAGAAATTGGTATTGAATAGAATTTTATTTATTTCACTGATTTATTGGTTGCATTTGGGGTATGTATATCACTTTAATGTTTTGTTTGATGGATTAATAATTATCTTATAATATTTTGAGTGTTGAAATATGAAGTCAAAATATTCACTAATTTCGAAGATATATATATTTATATTACGGAATAGGATTAACACTTGAATTATTTACTTACGGACAGACTGTCAGACTCCAGCAAATCACTCACTAGCTGTCCATATATCACAACACACAAGAACAACACTAGCATGGGCACTAGACACTGACTCAAATTCTTCGTTGTCAGATTTTAGAGTTAATTCATGAGAAGGAAGAAGACAGCTCGACGCGCTGCAAGAGACTGGATGGCTCAAAGGAGGTGGTGGGAGAGCTCGGAGCTAGACGGCTTCCTATTGGTCGAAAGGAGCTGGAGAGGGGGGAGATCCTTCCCCACGAAAGCTGGGGGTTGGTGCAACCCTTGGAGGTTTTCCAGTAGTACTGGAGCGGTTCTGCTGGAAGTAGGGTACGCGGGTATCTCGTGAGTGTAACTTAAGTGAGGTTAAAGTCGTAAGTACTTGAGGTTCGTTTAAGGGACTCCTTTTCCACTTGTTAGACCACGATAGGAATTTAATTATATGATTATAATTAAAACTTTTTTTTTTATTGAGGAGGGTTAAAATATTCCTCAGATAATATTTTAACAGTGAAAATTAAAATAAACTTTTTAACATACCTTGATTTTTTTTTTTTTATTGACCTCTTCCATAAACATCATTTATCAATTAACTAACATCCATATTAACTCTTTATTGAATTCTTGGTTCCCATTACTGTACTCTTAGACATAAAAAAAAATATCAAATTACTTTCCAATATCACTTGTTAATCCACAACTCGATTTTATTTGTATAGTTGAAATAATGGCTGTAATTATTTTTAAAAAATATTTTTTTTAGAAAAGGTTAAAATTATTTTATAAACATCATTACAGTAAAAAAACAAAAAGATTTTTGTATATTTAGTTACTTTCATGTAATTCATATAAAGTGTTTTCAAGGAAAAGGGTTCAAAATAATTTAATACATTTTTTTGAAGGGGGTTAAAATATTTTAACAGTGAAAATTAAAATAAACTTTTTATCATACCTTGATTTTTTTTTTAATTACCTCTTCCATAAACATTATTTATCAATTAACAAACATCCATATTAACTCTTTAATGAATTCTTGGTTCCCGTTTTAGTACTCTTAGACATAAAAAAAACAATATCAAATTTTTTTCTGTGTACTTTATGTGACAGTTAAAGACACAAATATTTGTTAAAGAATAGTTCACAGGGCCATTCCTTTCTAATTCCATATGTTAAACCACAACATGATTTTATTTGTATAATTGAAATAATGATTAATTATTAAAAAAGAAATATTTTTTTAAGAAAAGGTTAAAATTATTTTATGAACATCTTCCGTCTGTTTTAATTGGACAGTAAAAAAAAAAAAAAATATTTTTGTATATTTAGTTACTTTGATGTAATTCATCTAAGTTGTTTTCAATGAATAGAGTTCAAAATACCTGTAATAATAACTTAATACATTTTTTTTTGACGGAGGTTAAAATTATTCCTCAGATAATATTTTTACAGTGAAAATTAAAAAGTTTTTTTATACCTTAATTTTTTTTAAATAACCCTTCACTAAACATTATCTATCAATTAACAAACATCCATATTAACTCTTTATTTGAATTCTTAGTTCCCGTTACAGGACTCTTAGACATAAAAAAATATTTTCTTTTTCTGTGTACCTTAAGTGACAATAAGAGCCACTAGTATTTTTTTAGACCAAGACATGATTTTATTTGTATAACTGTAAAAATGACTGTGATTATTTTTAAAAACTGCTTTTTTTATGGGGAGGTTATAAAATTATTAGATAAACAACATCCGTCCATTATATTTTGGCACTTAGAAAAAGAAGTACTATATCTTTCAATGGCACTTTAATACAATTATATAAAATGTTTTTAAGGAATACAGTTCAAAATAATTATAATAATAACTCAAAAAATTTTTTTTTGTTTTTAAAGGATGTTAAAATTATTCCTCATATAACATTTTTACATTGATAATTAAAATAAAGTTTTTTTTTATACTCTATGTATAAACCTCTTCCTCTATATTTTATCAACACACTGATGTCTACATTAAATTATTATTTGAAGTATTTTTCCTCTTTTACTGTACTCTTAAATACTGATGAACCCACGGTAGAAGGGGAGAGGGGATGGGGGCTTAGGGCTGAACCCCCAACATTTTTTTTTTTTCATTGATAGCTATTCGTTTGTGTGAGTAATCTAAATAATTAAACAATCAAATGAAAAAATATATAAAAAAATTATCTTTACTGTAAATTGTTAGTATTATAGTTTCTCTAATTACCTTAATTTTTTTTATTTGCTTTACCTTCAGAGAATACAGTATTTGATATAAGTAGGTAGTTTTTTACTCTTTCTTCCTGAGTAATTAAGGTTATTTAAAAAAAAATAAAGTCCGCCTTCCAGAAAAAAAATTAAATCCTGTATTGGCTAATGATATTAACCCTTTATTTCAAATTTTGGTTCTCTTTTGTGGTACTCTTAAAATTGAGAATTTTCTTTTTGGTATACCTTAGCTGTTGTTAGAGTACTAAGTACCTTCAATTTGGATTCATTCAAGGAGCCATTCCTCACCACTTGTTGGCATAGGCGCAGACATTCCATTCTGATTGGATGAGGGGAGGGTAATGGACCCCCCCCCCAAAAAAGAAAAAAAAAATTGGAGTGGGTTTTAAATCATGTATACAAATTATTAGTAATAATTAAAATAATTTTTGTAAAAGGAACAATATAATACTAGAGAGAAATACTTTATTTGAAACAGTGCTGCCCCAGGGTTGCTCGATACACAGCATACTCTTCAATGTTTTTTTTGGACATATCACTTAATTATACTTGAATCACATATAATATATACAAATTCTTTTCCTTATTACTCATCATATATAATATTAATACTATATTATACCAACATAATTACAATTATACAATATATATATATTTCGGTAATATATAAAATATTACAATCAATTTATACATATTACTTTTATTTTTACGTACGGATATATTTGGAAATATGCTAACAAAGCAATGATGTATTGCATATTTTTATTTTTAATTGAAGGTGTTTAAATGGCAGTGGGAATGATTCGATTCGCTCTGAATGCTTCGATGCTTCGAATTTGCCGTAGATAATGTTAGCACATTTTCAAATGAAAATGAATGAGTAGACATGAATGAATCATAAATTTCTAGGATATGTTGCTACACATCTTTGAATATAAACTAAAGTTTTAATAATAGGCACATAAGGCTTGATAACATACTTGAGTACCCACTTCTAGGCCTTATTTTCTCGATTGATTTTAGTTTACATATTTTATTTATTCATGTAGATCGATTATTAGTAATTTTTATTTTATTTTGTTTCTCAAAATATTGGGGAGGTGAAACTTTATTCTCTCTCCTTTTCTATTTTCATTGAGAAGATGATCGCCCTCCTCGAAATTTTCACCCACGACTTATTGTATTATTTTCTCCCAACTCTTTGCAAATATATAATAGTTCTAATTTAACGAAATAAACTCTCATAATTTATGTATTTATCACATTTATTTGAATGTTGCGAGAATACTTTGAATCCCCCGAAATTTGATCCTTGGGACATTTCTCTCCTCTTGTTGGGCTACAATAGGATTATCTTTGTATAATTGTATAAATAACTTTATAATTTTTTTTGAGGAGAGGAGTTAAAAGTATATATCAGATGCAATCAGCTGTTTAAAAATCTTTTTTTTTTTTTTTTTATGATCATTGAAATTTACAACTGTATTAAATGATAAATACAACAAGTGAATATGAAACAAGTTACATGGCTTATACTACATGAAGATAAACCATCCATAGGTAGCACTCCAATTATATTTCTATATTAGAAGGTCCCGAGGTCATCTTTTCAAACGCCTCGGAGGATTATCATAAATAGAAGAGGAAGTAAGAGGGAACAAGAGGGTTCGGATGGTTCAGAAGTTTATTATGGAAGGATAGGTATCTGGATTGAGCTAAATCGGAAACATATGGTACCTTAAGGTCGTTATTGATGATTTTATTTGTGACAAAGTAGGGCGCATTGAGGATCTTACGAAGGATTGGATACGCGAGGAATTTTTTGGTTAAGAAGAGTCCCAAAGCTCGATCTCGTATAAAAATCAATTTGTATAATCATGACTAATCAATTTTCAATATAAAATGAATTTTTGCTGCACTATATTTTAAGTTGTCACCTTAAACAAGAGAGATGTACGAGAGCTGGTTGAAATCTAATTGGTTTTAGCCTTAAAACACAGGATTAAAAAAATATATTTTTTTTTACTTTTCGGAAATTTTTTATAATTATCAGAATAGCTATGTTGTTAAGATTGGTCCAATTATCTTTAAGATATCCTATATATTATTTATAAAAGGTGTTTTTTGTCAGGACGCCATAATTCTTCATCAAATCCAATAATTGACCACTTATTTTGAAGATATTCTTTTCCTTCACATGCGAAAAATAGTCCTATCTCGCCGAAATTTCTTCAAAAAAGTTATGAAGGAAAAGAAACTTTATTTGCGAATAATTCAAAAAGTATGCATGTTTTTCTTGATTGCACCCATGATAATTAGAAAGATTACTAAATTACCTAAAAAAAAAAGAATTCGTAAAAATCGGACAAATAATAACAAAGATACAGTCCATTAGTTTTTGAATACTTAATAACGTCTTCCTGTTTAAAGATATTGCATTAAGGAGTAGAATAGTCCACTACAATTTTTTTCCTCCTGATATATTAACTTTATTATTTCTTAAATAAATTTGGTTGTTATTTATTACAGTTTATTTTTTTAATAATTCAGAAAATCCTATGGTCGGGGGATTTTGTGTTTATTACTTTTATTATCTTTCCAGTCAGCGTTTAAAAATAGGTTTTAGCAAAACAATTTGTACAAATATTTTTGTCTATTATGTTTAATGGAATATTGTAATCGACCAAGGAAAAAATGCCAATTCCTTCCTTACATAATAAATAGGAAATATTTCCATATCGTTTTGCTATTTTTTTACTAAACAAAAATATATAATTCATTTTGCATATAATTCTTGTTACAGTTAAAATAATATTTATAGTGGATACAATAATTGAATTAATTGATTGGTTTAACGATCAAACCAACAGAGTGCGAATTTATTTGGATGTTTTATAAACAGAAAGGTATCTCTCCTTAAAATACGAAACATATTTGTAATTAAAATATTTTAATAAAAACAAATATATACATTAGGATTCCTCAAATTTTGATGTTAAATAAGTAATTTTATTTTTACGATTTTTGTTTTGAAGTATGTTTTTAACTTGTCGGTCTTCCCTCCTTTAGGCAGTACGGGTATTAGTCTGACTTATAGGGGGACTGTATTGTTGGGAGGGGTTCCTTCAAGTTAAGATTAATTATTATTTGTACAAATGTTTACAATAAGTAATAACATATTATATGTTTTATACATACATACACAGGTATCTATATATGTGTAATTATCTTGACTTGAAGGCCAATTTACACAGTCAAATCCTTATAAATGCACTGATATAGTCTTATTTCAA